TTTACATACAGCAGTTCACATATACTTTGTCTCATGTCATTGACCACAGTTTACCACAATGCAACAGCTCCCCTCCCACTTCCTCCCCGATTTTTATATGTTTTTATAAAATAATCTTCACTCTTACATTATCATTTAATTTTTTAGAACCTCATATTGTAATCTTTGTCAAAAATAAATGTATAAAGATTAGTACAGGGAACAAACATATGCCATTCTCCTCAACCTGAATCCAATAAATGTCAATATTTTGTCATACTTGCTTCATTAATGTAAAAAAAAGTTTAGCACAACATTATCTCTTTTTAATCTTTAAAGTTATTTCTAAATAAACCAAAAACAAACTCACTGCCGTAGAGTCGGATCTGACTCATAGCGACCCCTCCTTGGGTTTCCGAGGTGGTATCACTACGGAAGTAGATTGCCCAGTGTTCCTTCCGAGGAGTGGCTGGTGCGTTTGAACTGACAGTCTTCTGATTAGCAGTCAAATGCCTTAGGCACTATGCTACCAGAGCTCCCATATTAAACAACTAATTATAATTAATTATAAAAACTTATAATTAATTTCGTATGAGCCTAAGGGCCTACAGAGGGCTAATAAAGATGAACTTAATTGTAAAATATATATCTATGACTTCAGAATTAGAATAATTTGGCCAGAATATCTTGTATGCAACTATCTTTGGAGAAGAGCCTAGAACATTTTTCTAGGTTGGTAGAAATTCAACTCCAAATCTTTAGGTAATTAGAAAGGATTTTTTTTACACAAAATCTTTAATATATACCTTGGTTAATAAAAATTTTATAACAGGAGACTATACTTGCCTGGGAACTCTGGTGGCTTAATGCCTAAGGTATTTGACTGCTAACCAGAAGGCTAGTGGTTCAAACCCACCAGCTACTCCTCGGAAGGAAGATTGGGCAATCTACTTCCTTAGTTACACCGCCTCGGAAACACAAGGAGGGGTCGCTATGAGTTGGATCTGATTCGACGGCAGTGCATTGTTGTTTTGTTGTTATATTTGCCTACATAGGATTAAGAGTAATGACTGGGAACATTTTAGAAATGGAATAGTATTAAGTGTTACTCTCTTTTACATACAGTGTCTTTGGATACTATAAAATATGTAGAACAGAATTTCCATTTGGAAACTCATCCCTGTCTTTTCACTCCACAACCGGCTTCTTGTATCATATTTTCCATATGTGACACTTTAAATAATTAAATACTTAGAGCTTTTTTAGAACTTTACTACATCATCTCCTCCTTGAAAAACAGTTTTTTTTCTCATTAAATTTCAGATGAGAACAAAATTCCATGAATAAGCTTTAAAGTTGATGTTATGCATTGAACTGTCTCCCAAAAATATGTATGTGAATCCTAACTCCTATACCTGTGGATATAATCCTGTTTGCAAATAAGGTTTTTTGGTATGTTAACAAGACCATACAAATATATAATGTGTCCTAAACCCAATTACTTCTGAGATAAAAAGAACAGCTTAGACACAGAGACAAACACATACAGGGGAAGAGAAATGCCATGTGAGAACCAAGGAACTCCTGAGTCAACTGACATGGAAGAAATCAACACGCTGAAGACCCTGATTTGAACTTTCATCCTCCAGAGCTGTGAGAAAATACATTTGTGTTCCTTAAAGCCACTCACTTGTATCTGTGTTATAGCAGCATTAGCTAACTAAGACAGTCAGGCTTGTTTCTATTCCATGAATTCCAACATGTGAGCTAGAGAGACAGGCAAAAACTCAGCTACCTTATATACTTTTCTAAGGTGTCTGGACTTTGCATCAGCAATGGGGAATTGCTGAACAACTTATATTATGGGGTAATATTGGCAGTTTTACATTAAAAAAACCATTTGAACAGTAGTAAAGACGATAAACTGGAAAAAATCAAGGGTGGAAGAAGGGAGATAATTAACATATTATTGCAGTAGACCTGATGGAAGATAACAGAGGCTGAAACTAAGGAAAAGGGAGAAGCCTAAGATGATTCCCAGGTTTTTCACTTGGTTTTGTATATATTTAAGGAAAGTATATATAAAGAAATATCCATTCAATAGGAATTTAGATTTATATAACTACCATGTGTGAGATATATCTGGATTGAAGACAGTGACAGAAGTCATCCATATAATAGTGAAGCCAAGACAGGAGATGAAATCACCCAAAGAAAGAGCGTAAGATGAAAAGATGGTCAAGGAAAGAACTACAAAATATACTAAACTGTAAAGGTTGAGCTGAGAAAAAGAAACTCATTGGAAACCAAGACGGTATAATCAGATTAGTAGGTAGAGAGTCAGAGAAAGTGATGTTAGGGAACCCCAGGAAAAAGAAAATGTCAGTAGTGTCAAAAGTTGCAAAGAGGTTAAGAGAACTGAGAACAAAAAGAATTCACTGGAATTAGCAAGTAGGTGTGCATGGATAATGTTGCCCATGTTGTTTCCTTAGGATGATGACGGCAAAAGCCCAATTGCTTGCAGTGCCCTGAGTGACTGTTAGGTGAAGAAGTAGAGACAATGGATACAAACTAAGTTTTTTAAAAAGGAAATATAATATTAAAGGAGGATTGTTTTTGATATTGGAGAATCTTGGTAGAAGGAGTTGGAAGACAGAAAGAATATGGAAAAGACTGAGGTTGTGGGCATTCCTTACTGAGGAAGTAAATACGATCAAGAGCTCCAGTAAAAAGATTTGCTTTGATTGGTGTTGTGGTTACCTGGTGCCACTCTGACAGGAATATACCACAAATGGGATGGTCTTAACAAACAGGAGTTTATTCTTACAATTTGGAGGTTTTAAGTCCAAGTTCAAAGTGCTAGGTTCTAGGGGCTGGGTGAAAGCCCCTTGACCTTGGGCTTTAGCTCTGCCTCTTGCTCCCAGCCCACTGAAGCTAGAGGCATCTCTTCACTCAGGCAGCTACTGGCTGCTGAGGCTAACAAGCCCAAGGTCAACAAATAACATGGCACAGTCCCAATGTTACCAAATCACATGGCAGACCATTCATTCAAGTCCATTATAAGTCTCAAGGTTGGCAGAGCATGCCAGGCTGCTGAACAATGACACAGCTACATTCAGGGTCCAAGCGTGCCGTAAGCTAGAGACTATCTTCAAGGCTTTCCCTTATATAGAGGAAGCAGACTACATTCCAAAGGCAGCTACTCAGCTGCTTCTGGTAGATTCCACCATGGAGCTGATTACCATGGGGGATACTACATCCAACTGCCCAGCCACTCAACCAGGCCCAGCCAAGTTGACACACAAACTGAACTATCACAATTGGGAAAAAAAAAAAAGACACACTTTGATCACCGACAAATCAAGGGATATAGGGTTGAGTAGGAATCAAGAAAATTACTAGAAACAAAGATGAGAAGTTAAAGTACATGCCTAATTATCTGGATTTTCTCAGAAAAGTATAGGGGCAAGGCCATTTGCTAACAAACAATAAGACAGGGCAAAATTGGCAGGTGTTTGAACAACATGGAAAATGATGGATGATGGAGTTACACAGAGATTAGATAAAGAACAAGATAGTCAAAATGTACAAAACATAGACATTTGAATTTCTCTATCACTATTTGTGTCTTGATGGAGAGGCCAAGTAAGTTGGCCAAGTAAGTATGACGAGAGGCATAGCACATCAAGAGAGCCAGGAAGTAGAGGAGGCTGGTATGAAGTGACAGAAGAGATGCACCAAGAGGTCTGAAAAGAAAGGCAGTATCAAAGGAAGTGACAGAATGAGAGGAAAGGATGAGAGAAGAGATGGAGGACTTGATGAGGGAGCAGGAGAGAATGGAAGATATGAAGAAGGACATGTAATATAGATTATGACTACTTTTCCACCAACCTCTTGGAGACCTTTGTACAAATCCTCATTTGTCCAGTTACCTAGGGGCCACCTAATTTCTCCATCAATGAATACTTTGCCTAGAATGTCCCTCTCTGTCATGTTCAGCTAGTGTCATAGATTTTTCTACCTCAAAACCTTTTCTAATAAGTCTTTCCTGACGACCTTATCTAAAATACATGCTTCTCACTTCCCCATCTCTCTCTATTCCCTTATTTTCATTTTTTTTTATAGACATTTACCTTCCATTCTTTTCCATTTACTTTTTGTTGTCTGTCCTCTGCTCTAAGGGTAAAGTCACTGATGATTAGTTAGAGGCAGCACATGGACAAGTACAGGAGCAGCAGAGACAGACAGCCTGGGTTTCTACCCTGAGTGTGTAATGTCTGCCAACTTATTTAGGCTTTCTCATTTGTAAACTGGAGATAATGATAAGAATCACCTCACTAGGCAGTGTGAGCATTAAGTGAGATTGCATATAAAGGACTTATCAAAGTTCCTAGTACATAGGAAGGGTACTAGGTACCCTTCATAGGTAAGGTATCATTTGTATCATAGCAACCACTGCAAATAGTTCTTAATAAAGTCTCTGACTATCTCAAAACTGACATGCAATTCCTAATACCTCTAAATGGCTGCCTAGTTAGTTTTATCCTCAACATCAGAAGGAAAAAAAGAGGAAGGTATAATAATAACGGAATGGTTATTTGGTGCTAAAATTTCTTAAACTACAAACCACAGACAACACAATGCTTGCCAGAACATTTCTGCCAGTACCTAAGCTCTTTTACCCTTCTGGCAGTTTCTCAGTCCTACTGGTAACAGTAAGGTTATTTGGCTATAAGAAATGTTATGGCAGATGTTTATGGTCTCAGAGGGGGTGGGATCTTTATGAGCATTTAATTCCACAGCAAGATCCCAAATTAGTTTCATTATTCTGGAGAGTATAAGAGGGTGAAAATTGGCCCACAAACCTCAATGGGGGAATGGAATTATGAGCTAGCTATTAGATAACCTCTAATGATGTTTTGATATACACTTAAAAGAGGAGATGCTCTAAATAATTCATAGTGGAGAGTGAAGTACCATCATATGAGCCATAGAATTATATTTTCCACAAGTTATAAAGGGATTTTGATGTAGCAAATCTAAACATTCCTTTAAAAAGAAATAATTGTCTGCAGGTAGAAGCAGACTACATTTTCTTCACATTCCCAAATCAGCACACTTTAAAGATGGCTTTGCTTAAGAGTAAAAAAGTTGCGTTTGGGATAATTTCTTGCCTCCGTCCATCCTCCAGCATTAACTAATGGGTGCCCCGTCCCTTTCAACAATGTCATACTGGCCCTGGACTGATAACTCAACCCCATTTCAGCACTCCACATTCATTGTCTTTTGGTTCTCTGATCCATAATTATGCTGCCCTCTTTCTTTTTTCCTTACCCAAAGTGATTGGCTGCTTGGGCTTATGTAGTCAGCTGCTAGGAAGAAATAAATTAATGCACATCAAAAGTGAGAACAACTGATAAGTTTAAAAAAACAACAACAGCTGGGTTTTATGCTTCTCTTGTGCCACCCTGCTTTTGGCTGTCCTCCCAGGAGAACTGTGTCTTATAAAAGGATGCTAATGGAATAAACCTCTACAATGGAACTGAGGCAGCCAAGAATCTATCTTCCAAGGCAATGGAGTGGGCAGGCCAGATTTCTTATTGTGGTATAGTAAATTACTTTGTGTGGCTTTTCTACCCATAAGTCTTTGTAAACTCCAAGGTGGGATTTGCTATGAGCAACTGAGGAGCTCCTGATTGCTGAAGGTGTCCACCTGGAGTATTTCTGTTGGGAGAGGCACAAAACAATGTTCTGGGAGGTGCCCACTCTCTCTCAGGTGCTTA